CAGACCCACAGCAAATGGCCTGGAACATGCAGTGCCCGGTAGGCAGGAAGGGCCGTGGGGCCGGGGGCTGAGGAAGCCAGGGGAGGAGAGGGGGAGTTCTGGGAAACCCAGTGGCTGTGGGGAAGCAATAAGGGCCGAGTGCCTGGCAGCCACCTGAGGGGAAAGGTGCCCAGAGGGAGCAGGGCCAGCCAGGCCACCGGTGTCACGTCAGCTCTCAGGGCTCCTCCTCCTGCCCCCTGAGCTCAGACCTCCCTGGGCCCTCCTGGGGCTGCCTTGGCCTCCGGCAAAGCCCTAAAGTTCTGGCTGGGCTACTCCCCCCCCCTTGTCCCCCCAGGCCCAGGTGAGAGCAGGTGTCTCAGGCCCTAGAGCAAGGGCTCAGAGCAGCTGGCCTGAGGGGACAGGTGCAAGGGCTGTGCCCTGGAGCTCTGCTGTTTGTGTGAGCGGAGGGGGGCGGGGGAAGGCCTGGGGCAGCCTCCCTGCAAACGCCATTTCTCTCTCCTGACAGAGAGGCTGCTGGTTCCAGGGCTGGGCTGCATCCCGGCTCCCCATCAGCTCTAGGCCTGGGGCAGGGAGATGCACCTTCGAACCCTGCTCCCAGGCACAGACTGTTCTCCTGGCCCTAGAGGGGCAGCACGTGGCCGGGTTTGTATCACACACAAAATGTTGCGCTGCCCCCGCCTGTCAGTGTCTGAGCCTAAAGGTTTGTTCTCAAGGGGAGAAAGGCCCAAGCAGGGCCATGTTCAATGGCCAGTCACAGACACACAGAGATGTCAGACCCAACCGATTCCCAGCAGTGCAGGGGAGTCTGCAGGCCTGAGAGTCCCTCTGACGCCCACCGCTCAGCTGGGCCACTCGGCTTTTGGCTATTGCCCTGCCGTGTAGACATACCCACAGTGAAGAACAAAAGGGTGAAATGGTGCCTGCAGCCTTTCAGAATGACCCCCGGACACCACCACCAAGTACCAATGTCACTGCTTATTAGAGAAGATCTCCTCACACAACCGTAGCCAATGGAGTGTTCTCGCGAGAGACACTGGAGGAAAAGGGGCAGCCCACACTCCGGTCCCAGTGATGGTGTATTCACCGTTCAGTCTGGCCTCAGGACGTGTTTGAACCGAGGAGAGTTAAAACCCCTTGGGGATGGAGGACGTGGCTCAGCTGATTCTCAGCCATCTAGGAACCGGCTGTTTTTCTAACTCAGTATTTTTCTACTCTGTTGAAACAAATAAACAAACAACAGTTTCCTTCTGTTATGTCATGGGGAGTTTCACAGCATAGGAAGAAATCAGTGGAAAGGCAGAGAGCTGGAGTAGGTGCAAGTGTCCATTTTATTGCATAGCACAGAACTCACTAGAACAAGCCCAGACTAGCTGGGCTGACCCCAGTGACCTACTCAGTTACCATAACAACAAGATCTATATCTACAACCCAATATACAACATATTCCTCCCCCCTTAATAAAAATGTCCCTTTAAGAAAACAAAAACTAACTATGAAATGAGGGTAGAACGCCTCAAGTTCCCAGCTAACCCTGGGGATTATTTTGCCCCATCTGTGAGTTAATCTTAACTAAAGGTCCAGTTGCTGAGGAGGCCTCCTTTCTCTAGGTGGATTACGGCAGACATCCGGCGTTCTCGTACCCAAAGATGTTATGGGTGCAGGCCTGACACTGGGCTGGGAACTTGAAGTGTGAACAGGTGAGGCTGTTGGATCAGCCTGCTCAGGGAGGAGGTTATTGTTCGCCGCTGGTGGTGATGGAGGAGGAGAGTCAGGAGCAGGTGATTCTTGACACGGTAGCTCCCCAGCAGTGGGAAGGACGGGCAACTCAACTGGAGATG